GTGGCCCAGCAGAACGGCTATCAGAACCTGGTGGAAAACAACGGTTCCTACAGTTTACAGCAAAACACGGTTCTTGGCAGCGGAGCCGGTAATTCTTTCAGCATGCAGCCCAATAAACCTTACAGTGAAAACATCGGCAGGCAAGCAATGATGTCTGGGGCAATGGACAATTCCTGTGGCGTGGCAGTTCAAGGGCAGAAGCTGAGAAGCAGCAACGTGCCAGTGAGTGGGAACCAGCAAAATTTCAGCCATCCCATGGCATCCAGCGATCAAGCCACCAGTATGGCAAACGGGATGCAGGACAGGAATATGATGGAACAGGAATATTTGCAAAACCAACCAGTCGGAGACAGCATTCATTACCAGGGAGTCAATCAATCCGGTCAAATGATGCTAGGGCAGGTTAGTCCTACCTCACAAAGCAGCCTGTATCAAGGGCCACAGAGTTGTCCACCGGTGTCTCACAGCATTGGTAGCCAGCCTTCAGGTTTGTTCGTGGCCAAAAGTTACCAGCCGTGCTCTAATTACAGCGGCAACAGACGGCAAAATGTGTTGAGATACAACCTGGCACAACAGCAAGGACACGTAAGTGATGGCAACCAGACGTACAGGGTAAACACCATTAAGATGGAGATGCAAGGTCAATCACAGCAGTTCTGCTCTAACGTGCAGAATTACTCTGGTCAGTTATATGACCAAACCACGGGCTTTAGCCACCAAGCTATGAAAACAGGTTCTTTCTTTGGTTCGGAAGCTAACTGCCTGCTGCAGGGGACTGCGACTGCAAACTCATCCGAGCTTCTTTCCCCGGGGGCTAACCAAGTGTCAAGCACAGTTGACAACATTGACAGCAACAGCCTAGAGGGTGTGCAGATTGATTTTGATGCTATCATAGATGATGGGGACCATGTCAGCTTAATTTCGGGAGCCCTGAGCCCGAGTATCATTCAGAATCTCTCCCGCAATTCCTCACGCCTCACCACTCCCCGAGCGTCTCTTACATTCCCAGCTATGCCTGTAAGCACAACCAACATGGCTATTGGGGACATGAGCTCTTTGTTGACCTCACTTGCAGAAGAAAGCAAGTTTCTTGCTGTTATGCAATAGACATGAAAAAAAAAACCCTTAGGAGATAATAGATGAAAAAAAAGACTCGTATTTTTTAGTTGTGTATGTATTTTAGCAATCTCATCTCACCTAAATGGGATGTGTTTCAAGTATATTCCTTTTATGGAATAAGGACTCTGAAAACCCTAAAGTGTTCTAGGGAGAAACTGTCTTCCATTTCAGTTTTGAATCAGTATTGCTACACCCATTCCCTCCCTCTCTCTCTTTCCCCCTCTTTGAATGTCTGTATGCTTCCTTTTTCTTTTTTTTTAATTGTAAACCAATGTAAACGTGTGAAGTGCATGTTTTTGTTTTGTTTTGTTTTTTTGTTTTGTTTTAAAGAAAGGTCTGATGAAATGACTTCGCAATTTTCTGTTACTCGAAACTAGACCTTGTAAAACTGTTGCAATTTTTCCCCCTAAACGTATAGGCACAAAATAACCAGGCACAATGTAAAGTGAGCATACAGTGACGAAATCCTCTCTGGATGCATTTGATACATGGCACTGAGGTGGACAACCAATTTAGAAATGCACTGCCATGGTACCCCTAGGCTGTCGTTTCAGAGTCATGGAGCACAAGAAATTAGGAGGTTCAAGCAAATAAGAAATGCAAAACCATCAGCCCTTTGATCCCTAGCAAATGTTTAAGGTTTTTGTAAGCACACACACAGATAGTTGTCACTGCCTTGCATAATGATACTGAGATTGTGTCACGTCTAATCCATTTCAGAGGAAGGAGGGGAGCAGAAAGCTATTCTTAGTCCACCTCTCATCTTTTGCAGTATTTGGTATTCTGGTTTTCAGCCTTCTTTTTTAAATGACTGGATAGTAAAATTATGTGTGTGTTTGGTGGTTTGGGTAGTCTGTAATCCCTTCATGGCATACTACATTTGTGGAGAGACTATCAGGGTCTTATGGAGTATTTCATACAATGAAATAACAAAATTGCAGTATTCCATACTGGGGACTTTTTTTTTTTAAATGCAAATAGTTGAGATGTAATTTGCTGAGCCACTGGTTCTTATTCGCAGTAACAATTCCTTTGCCAGGAGAACTGTCTTGTACTACATCCCTTCTAGCACATATACCTTCGTGTATGGATTGTATGTTTTAAAATAAGTAAATGCCCATTGACATAACACACAGTTATGGCTTCAAAAGCATCATGGTCATGGCATGTAAAACATGTAGAATGGCCCAGTTCTCAGACTAGCCAAATAAATCAAAGTGATTGCAAGCAATCTGATAATCTTAAATGTTTTTTCCACTGTATCCAGGATTTACAAAATTAAGAAATTTAAACTGCCATTAAAAATAGCAAAGAAACAAGTGGAACAACAAGTATGTCTGGTACCTAATCAAAACTCAAAAAGACCAATGCAACCTCTCGGGGACACCAACGTGCATTTCATTTCAAAGCAAACCAGTGGGTCAATGCCCAGGCTCAGTTACACCAGCAAAAATTGGAACTAACACACTGTGGTCGTGAGGCTACTCACTGTTAGAGGTGAATGGCATTTTCTCCATAAGTGCTAGCTCTTGTAGCGTGCTTTTTGCTGTGCTGGGCTCCATGTCTGCACCCCTGAACACACAGTGCTCCTGGGTAAACAGGTTGGGATGGGGAACAGTTACAAGACCAAGGTGTAAGTTCACCCACTCCTAGAAGCTGCGTGCAAGTCCAGCCCTTGCAGACTTCTCAGTTAAATCCCAATAGTAAAATGCTGCTACAGGATCTAAATGGTGCAGGCACTTACAGTCATGGATCTGATGTCTGTAAGGAGCTGGTGTTCGACATACAATGAGAAGGCAGAGTGTGGTCAATTTTGAAATACAGATAAACTTTAGCCCTGCCAAAATTTGGAGTAGCACCAGAGGGTGATTTCTATAGGCTAGAAGGCCACAGAAATGGCCTCGGGTTTTTTTACTGTAAAAAAAGGTGAAATACCAGCTGATTCAGGGCATGGCATTTGAGGAACGTGTGGGAATACAACCTCAGTGAAGCTGTCGGATAACATTGATCTATTAACAGCTGTTCGAATCAGAGGAAGAAGCTGTAAATCAGTAGGAAAACATCATAGGAATCCGGTGCTGGGGCTGTATTTGGGCTTAATCACAGCACGTACCAAGTGATTTGCACTGTGAGCTGGAATGTCAGAAATCAAGACAAATGTAAATATCCTACAGCTTTTATCATCATCCAGCTCCTGTCTTTCTCCGTATCTTTAGAAAGCATTTCTTCCTTTCTCTGTCTCATGCACGCGTATTGCCCTGTCCTGCGCTTTGCCCTTTGCCAGTTCCCCTCCCGACCTCCCTGCCCATGACCAGCTATCAGCCCTCCTGCAGCGGTCCCTGGGCTGCACGGGGAACCGGGCGCAGCTCACCGTGGCAAATGGTTGGTTTGCTGTTGCAACGTGGCAAAGCTGCTCCCTGTTGCGCTCTCATCGCCCAGAGGCGATCCCTGTAGAGATCTGCTGCCTGCACGCAGCCCTTGCCCCTGCCCTGCTGCCAGGGCGAGGAGGGACGCCTCCGGCCAGGCAAGTCACTGCGGGAGGAGGGATGCTTCGGTGTCCGCGCTGTACATTGCAGCGCTATGATACAGCGCTATGATATGCTGCTGATAAACAGCAGCGTATGCATGAGGGAAGGCTGTTCTGGACGTGTTTCGGATGGCTCTCGGTAACCAATCGCTGGCTGTTTATTAAGCCATCCATTACATGTTTATAAACAATTTCAACAGGGAGACTTATGACCAGCTTGGGAGTAGGTGGCTTGGGAGAGAAGCCTTTTATTGTTATAGAGCCAATACGTTAAAAAACAACAAAAACTATTTTTTTAAACTCAATTTTCCAGTTCATAATTGTATTTGCTGGTCCAATTGAAGCTGGGAAGCTATTAACAGATGTCATCCATCAGAGCTTAGAAGGAGCCATTCATATTGCTCAAGGCTGAAAGGGACTGTTTGAGTAACTAATTTGCCTTCCTGGATTTGACAAACCTTTGTCACTCACTTACCCCTGTCTTGGGCCAACAATGTGTCTTGGCCGAAACCACATGCTCTAGAAAGGCATCCCGTTTTGATTTGGCAAAGTCGAAGAACCAGAGACTCCACCGTGTCCCTGGGGAGTTTGTGCAAATGGTGTATCATTTTCACCATTAAGCGTCTGTGCCACTTCTGTTCATGTGTCACTTTTCAGCTTTTAGTATCTTCTCATGTTTTTCTGGTTTATGCTAAAGAGTCTGTTTTGGTACCTGTGAGGGTAGCAATACATCATAGCCCAGCTATCTGGGGTTTTGGGTTTGCTTTGGTAAGGTAGGCTGGGCTCTCTGAGCATGGCACTGTTAGGCTGGACGCCAGCTTTCACTTGTCCACCTCCTTCTCAAGGTGTGGCAGCCTGGGGAAAGTCCCACCGTCATTGCTCAGGTGTTTACTGGCACCCCTCTACTCCTGCTCTTCAGTTACAGAGCCAAAGCTTGCTTTTGTGTATCTGGCACATCAGTTGGCATTGCCATGGCAGTTGGAAACCCACCGATCCCCGTAGAGTACTAGAAAATGCAAAAAATATTGTGAATTTCCTATTTTTAAAGCATTGCAGCCTGAGTCTAAACCACCTTTTCTTCTAATGGCTCTGTGGGGGTCTTCCAGATCCGTTACTGTTGGACTTGGGTGCATCCGCCTCGCTCGGCCTGCGTGACGCATGCGTATTTCTCCAGGCAGTTTTACTTTCCACGAAGTGGGAGTCACCAGGGAGGGTTGATCCGTCAGGTACACCCGGGTGGAGGAAAGGTGTTTTTGCAGAGAAGTCGGTGGGCTTCCGGGGGCGGTTTGCCGGTGAGTACGATGGCCCCGTACATCCCCATGGCAGATGGCGTTATTCTCTCCTTGGAGAATGGCCCCAAATAGTACATGCATTAAGATGCTGGCCGGCTCGCTCGTTTCCAGTCATTGCTTCCTCCCCACCCCTTGATGAAATGGCCCGTCGGCTCGCCCACGCCTGTTGCGCGATGGCTCGTCCTTCTGAACAGCAGTGTTTATAGTCTCGCAATGTATGTGCCTTATTTTGTGTTGATCCTGTCAAAGAGAGGGACCAAGATGTGTTGCCAAATCTTCCCGATGAGGCTGTATTTGCCATTCAGCTAATAGCACATACCACTGTTAATAGTGTCCGAAACGTCTTGTAAACCTCTGGTATTCACGTGTTATTGTCCTTGGATTGGTGGAATGTCTCCTATGGAACAGTTACTGTTGTCAGTCCTGCAGATGTGTAAGATAAAAATGTGTTTGGGTTTTTTTTTTTTCCACTTTTTTTTTAGTTTTTTTTTTAAATAAAGCTTGTAATCCTTTTTTTTTAAAAAAAAAAAAAGAAAATGTGTAAATACATTTACCTGCGGTAGGAGTAGTATTCGGCTGTAATGGGCCTTAGTGGTCTTCATTTGATAAACCTGCAGTTACGATCTGATGTTTCTTGAGCCTTAGGTTGATCTGAAGGGTCTGTAGCACTGTGTACATATGAACTGTACTTCTGCTTTCAGAACCACTTAGCTCTTTTGTAACAAAGAAAAAGAAAATGTTTCTTACAATGTCAATAAAAACACAAAAGCCTTTGTACTTAATTTCTTAGCTTTCAGCTTTTAAAATATCTCCTTGGGGGAGGGAGTACTTTTTTCATTCGGCTGGAGAGCCTGGTTGCAATCAGCGCGTGTATCGCTTCCACTCATGGCCGCTCGCTTTTCTGTTTCTGCTTCCCAGCCTATTGCTTCATTTCATTCACATTTTAAAAACCGACGGGGAAGCAACGCAGGGCGTTTACCTTCCCTTTAAAGAAGAGTGGCTGGGGGGTGCCAGGTGGAGAAATAAATGAAGCTGCAGTGTCACACAGATAAAATGTTTGAAAGAAGGGGAGAAACCGACCCGGTTAACTCTGCTGCAAGAGCAGTCATTTCAGAGGTCAAAGTCAAGCTGCGCTAGACTCTGGGCCGTTACGTGGGGGCTGCATTTTC